CGCTCTATGGCTGAGCCACAACCTCAGTCCCCAGGTCCCCTTCTTGATAGCAAATTTCTGTCTTAGTCCATTTTCTATTGCTATTATAGAATACCACAGCCTGGGTAATTTATAAGCAATGGGAGTTTATTTGGCTATGTTTCTGGAGGCTGAGAAGTCTAAGAGCATGACCGTAGTGTCTGGCAAGGGCCTTTGTGCAGTGGCCATGACAGATGGCCAGAGCAAGCATGTGTGAGGCAGAGAGAGAAGATTGGGCCAGACTCATCCTTTATTAGGAACCCACTCCCATGATAACTAATCAACACCTGTGACATGGCATGAATCTATTATTATTATTATTTTTGTGTGCATAATACTGGAGATTTAACCCAGGGGCATCCTGCCACTGAGCTACACCCTTGCGTTTTTTATTTTTATTTTTATTTTGTGACAGGTCCTCACTAAGTTGCCCAGGCTGACCTGGAACTTGCAATCCTCCTGCCTCAGCCTCCTGAGTTTCTGGGATGACAGGCATGTGCTACCGTGTGTAACTTCATGAGCCCATTTTTGAGAGCAAGCCCTTGTGACCTAATCACTTCTTAATTGTCCCACTTCTTACTGCCATCACAATGCTAGTACATTTAAGCATTAAGGCCAGGGCTGTGGCTCTGGCAGAGCACTTGCCTAGCATGTGTGAGGCGCTGGGTTTCATTCTCAGCACCACATAAAAAAATAAATACATAAAATAAAGATATCATGTCGAACTACAACTAAAAATATATTTTTTTAAAAAAATTTTAAGCATGAGACCGGGAGGGGACAATCAAACCATTGCAGGGCCCATTTATGCTCCCTAGAAACCAGGCAGCCTTTATGACCCTCACAAGGTAAACAAGGGACCGTAGCATTAGGAAGCATASTGTTCCCAGACATAGAGCTCCAAGAGACACATGTTAAATACAAGGATCAGGAATGAACTTTCAGTATCTTTTTTCTCCTTTGGTGCTGGGAATTGAACCCAGGGCCATACACAGGCGGAGCACATGTTCAGCTTCCGAGCTRCAACTTCAAAGCACTTTAAGTGTCTTAAAATAAACTGATTCTGGGTTGGGGATGTAGCTCAGTAGTAGAGTACTTACAAGCATGTACCAGACATTAGCACTAAAAAAATAAACAAGCAAACAAAAAAACATGAACTGATTCTGAATTGGCTAACCATGTTCTGTAAGAGGTGGGTAAATACAAAGATAARTCTGTAAAAAATTTAAAACAAGACGACCCAGCCTATGGTGGTACCCTGACTGCTTGTGATATCCTGTTCTTCTCTTTATATTTTCTGTCTCTCCTGTAGACATTGCCTTTATCAGGCACTGGGTTAGATGCTAAGAGCTCAAAGTGAGGAAAACACAGTATTAGCAGACAAGATGCAGAGACAGATATATATACACAGGTAGTTAGTGTACGATCGTATAATCAGTGTTGCATTTGAAGAATGTAAATACAAGGAACTGTTACAGAATGAACTCTGACTCATGCAGCAAAGGAAGGTTCCATGGGACAGGAGGGTTTCATCCACCCACCTGCCCACCCACTCGCATTTTTCCAGTCACTTAATAAACATCTGTTGAGCATCTAGTCTGTGTAAAGCTTTGAACTAGGTGCTGGAGCTATGACCGAGGCTTGAAGGGCCAGAGAATGATAGGAGGATGGGTTGACAGGGTGGGGACAGGATCTTTGCCACAGAGGACCAGCCTGTGCAGAGCATAGGACACACATGGGGAAGCTGGAGCAGCAGTGAGTGGCTAGTTCACTGAGGGATTTTGAGCGGTGGAAAGATTTTTTTTACATGCTAGCAAGTACTCTAGTACCGAGAAGCCATTGTGGAACTTAAACAAGTGAGTATTATGTTAGAGATGCTCTGGCAGTGGAGAAGGTCTGAGGCAGCAAGATCAGTTAGGAGGCTTGTGCACTAGGTTCAAAGCAAGGATGGTAAATGTGCAGAGTTAGAGATAAAAAGAGCCACCAGGATCATGTCCAAGTTCCTAGCCGTGCCACACAGCGAGTGGGTGGTGGTGCCGTGGACTAGGGTAAAGAATACCAAAGGACCCACTGGCATTGGCACAGAAGTTGCAGGTTTGGTTTTGCCAGGCTGGGCTTGCCAAAGAACGAGCTAACCAGGGCCATCTAGACTAAGGAAGCAGGGATAAGCCAAGAAGCCTTTTTGGAAGTAGACAGAGTGTGTTGCAGCCAGCCTGTGTGGTACCTTTGTAGAAAGCATACAAAGGTGCCTTTCTGAGCAGAAAAGTTAGAAAAGGGCACCTTTCTTCATTGTAGACTCAGCCACATGACTTGGCAAGAAGTCCAGGCTGAACTTCAGCCCCTGTCTGTCCCCACTTGGCTGGGCATCTATATAGAGTACACAGCTTGCATGGCTATACACAGAAGCTTTGAGATTTATTTGGTCTTGGGGATGTGCCTAAAGGCTCAGCCCATTTCTCACCTATGGAAAAAGAATGCAGGAAACTAGAGGAAGGTGGAGGGCTTGTCCAGGGAAGGAATCCAGTTATTACAGAAAGGTTTAGCAGTCAGGCCTCTTTCCGGCAGATTAGTCTCTTTTCTCATCTTGAAGAGGATTACAACCAGTCCTTCCCATCACCTCAGGGCATTGGGAGGCTAATGGAGACAATGTGTATGAAGTCTCTGAGGCATCTCTGCACCCCCAATTTCTGGCATGACATGTGGCCCCACTGAATGGGAAAAGAATGGTCAAGGTAGAACTAAGAAGTGCGTGAGGTAGACTGTGGAGATACAGGCTTGTCTTGCGTTAGGTCTAGTGAGAGTGTCAAGATGGCACAGGTCCAGGGAGGGAAGTAGCAGGGCTGGGGGCAGTAATGCAAGAGATGGCGTGTAGCGAGGTGCTGTTCAGAGGTGCCTGCTGTGGCATGGGGGCCTTGGAGCTTGGCCATGTTGGAGGATGACTAGCATGGGGTGGGGGTATTCAAAATGAAATGCTCAGGAGCCACAAGAATACCTGAGATGAGAACTCTGGCAAGCAGTCAGACCCTTACGTAGCAGGTGCTACAGTAGGTAAAGAATGAGGGGGAAATAAAAGAGAGAGAATATCATCCAGAGAGACAGAGAAGTGGGCATTGGGAAGAGTTCTGTCCTGGTAGCGGTGGTTTGGAACAAGYGGAGGCATTGTATAGAAGGATATGGAGTCCCCGTGGCGGGAGGCAGTGAGATAAACTCAGCCTGGTGTCCTGAGGTCCACCCTCTCTCCTCTTTCCCGACTCGGTGAGTGTGGATGAAGCTGGGTGGAGAACTAGAGGGTTTCTTGAGGAACATAGTAGGCTGTATGTTATAAAGGACAATCCCGGTCTCACTGAGGACAAAAGATAGCTCAAAGAGATGTGTTCTAAATTAGATCATCAGAATAGACCTGAGAGGGTTTGATGGTTTGGCTGGGAAGTTGGTGAACAAAATTTGTGCCTTAGCCCAACTGGGTCAGGTGGTTGGGAATCTCTTGGTTTAGTGCAGTGGCTGAGGAAAGGGGCAGCTGCAAGACAGATGTTCTGCACACACAGCTTCCAACTGAGGAAAAACCATCTTTCTTGAGTGCCTGAATACCCAGGGCTGTGGCCCAGTGAACTAGGGTGAGGCAGAACTAGGRTCCAGGTCTCTGACTTAGTGAAGGCCAGTGTTATGGTTTAGATACGAAGTRTCCCCCAAAAGCTCATGTGTGAGACGATACAAGAGGGTTTAGAGGCGAAATGACGGGGCTGTGAGAGCCTTCACCCAGTCAGTGGATTAACCCCAGATAGGGATGAGCTGAGTGGTAACTGATGGCAGGTAGGTGTGGCTGGAGGAGGTGGGCACTGGGGTGTGCCTTTGGGTTTATGCTTTGTCCTGGTGAGGACAGTTCTCTCCCTCTGCTTCTTGGTGGCCGGTTTCTTCCCTACACCTTTCCATCATGATGTTCTGCCTCACCTCGAGCCCCAAAGAATGAGCCCACTCTACGGACTGAGATCTCTGAAACGGAGCACCAAAGAAACTTTCCCTCCTCTAAAATTGTTCTTGTCAGGTCTTTTGGTTGCAGCAGTAAAAAATCTGGCTAAAATGACCAGTAACATGAGTCACCTCATGAGGAACTCTGACCCACAGCGTCTCTGTAGTTCTCATGAACAATCCTCCAAGATAGACTGTGTTTAGTAGATGACAAAGTTGAGACATTGAAGTTTCCAGAAGAAGCTGGAGCTCTGTACCGAAGGCTTATGAACTGATTCTGGTTGAGTTGTGGCCTTTTAGGTTGTCTGTGGCCCTCTGCAGACGGCAGCTCGGACCGTACGGGTAGTTCTTTATCCTAGCCTTTCAGGGTGTGTGTCCTCTGAGGTGGAGGCTGAGACTCCACTTATAAGGGAAGTTTATCTTCCCTCCCCAGGAACCCGAGACTCCGAGATATGGGCAGGATCTGGGCCTCTATCATAGTGTATGCAGTGTGTGTGTCTGTCTGTCTGTCTGGGAGGGTTGTGGAATCAGCCCATCTACTCTGGGGCACACGAAGCACATGGATACACATTAGTGTGGCTACGTGTTTAGAAAAAGGCGAATTATAAAAAGGACTTCCTATTTCTGTGTGTCCCCTCTCCTCCATTTCTTGTTTCCTTGTTTGCCCTCTCGTTTCTCTTTTTCCGTTTCTTTCCTTGCAAGCTTAGGTGGTGCTGTGATTTAAGTCCTCTGGCTGAGGACTCCTTGCTCATCTTTGTCCTGGGTTACAGAGGACAGAGTGCCTCAGGCTGAGTTTTGATAAGCTTAGGGACTTGCTGAGTGGCCTAGGGGCGGGGACTGGGTGGCAAGACTTGGTTGCCTTCCTTGAGCCCATGGTGGCCTAGTGGCCAGGGGGTTCAAGTGACTGCAGACAAAGGCTTGTTTTGGAGGGTAAGGGAGCGTGTGGTCAGGGGACACTGAGAAAAGTCGCGCATCAGTRGCAGCCCAGGAACTGGCCTGTCTGTGCCTTTCCACAGCACCAGGTGAGAAGAAGGAGGGCTGGTCGTGGGAGTCCTACCTGGAGGAGCAGAAGGCCATCACTGCCCCCGTCAGCCTCTTCCAGGACGTGAGTTGGCAGTTTCCACCTGGGAAGAGCTTGTCTTCCCAGCCAGGGACTCATCACACACACAGACCTTCYGGTGTTTTCTCCTTGACATTCCTCGATGGACTGGCAGAATGGAAGGGAAGCGACTGCTTAGGAGCCTGGAGTAGGAGAGGGCCCGCCATCAGGGGCAGGAAGAAGTGGGGAGATGGCATCCAGGCGCATCCATCCCTGGGCCTACAGACTGTTGAATTCTCATGCCTTCTCCTCAGTTTGGCACTGAGCTTTCCATGAGTCAGGCTAGAGAAAGCCCTTAAGCCCAGTCCTGACTTAGGCCCTCAGAAGAGCCCCCCAGCTATTCTCTCTCTCAATCCCCGCAGTCCAGATCCCCACGCATGTTGCCCACTTCGGGAATACCAGGCAGGTGGGGCCTAAAGGCAGCTCCTTCACCCCAAGCCCACTAGGCAAGGATAAGGCTGGATGGAAGCTGGGTCCTCTCCACTCTGTGCGTTGACAGTCCCAGGCCGTCACTCATAACAAGAATGGCTTCAAATTGGGCATGAAGCTAGAAGGCATCGACCCTCAGCACCCATCCATGTACTTCATCCTCACGGTGGCCGAGGTAAGCGGAGCTTGGTAATGCCCTTCTGCTGAGATAGCTGAGTGTAGAGGGATGTCGCTGCTGGGGGCACAGAGGGGACACTGCTCCACTTCAGAAGGCATAGTCTTGTGGGGATGGAATTGGAACGCAGAGAAAGCTTTATTCAAAAAAGAACAAGGGCCGGGGCTGGGGCTGGGGCTGGGGCCGGGGCCGGGGCCGGGGCCGGGGCTGGGGCTGGGGCTGGGGCTGGGGCTGGGGCTGGGGCTGGGGCTGGGGCTGGGGCTCAGGCTCAGTGGTAGAGCACTTGCCTGGCATGAGCAAGGCCCTGGGTTCAATCCTCAGTACCACATAAAAATTAAAAAATAAAATAAAGGTATTGTGTCCAACTAAACTAAAAAATAAATATTCAAAAGAAAGAACAGGTGCTCTAGGCTGGTGGTGTACTAAGTATGCACAGACTGTCCGTGCTGGGGGATCTTGAGGAGGGGCCATCCCAAGGGTTGGGGATGTTGGCTTGAAACAGACAAGGTCCTTGTGCTCTAGGAGCTCACAGTTGTACAGGAAATCAACTAGATAAACATGAGTGACCTGCCACAGGAGGTGACAGATGAGCAGTAGGGCACAAAGATGGAGCGCCCCGTTTGGCCTGGGTGGTCAGGAAGAGCATAGAGGAAGGGTCTCTCACTGAGTCTTGACAGGAGTGTGAATGAGGGGGTAGTTTCAGACAGAAGAAGCAAAAGGGCAAAGACTCGGGGGCATGGGAAGGCCACCATGTTCAAGGACTTGCTGGTAACTCGGGACCACAGCAGGGTATGTGAGTGGGGAGCAATGAGAGGTCTCAGAAGGGAAGGCCGTCGGGGGCCCTGGGCTGTCGTGAACCTTATGGGAACCTTCTAAGATCCACCCAGGGCCCCAGAGCACAGGAAGCTGTTACAGAGTCCACCCGTCCTGGACCCAGCACTCAGGGTTCACAAGTACCTGAATTGTCCTCGCCGCAGGATGGGAGGGCTCAGGGCAGGGTTCAGGATGGGGAAGAAAAGCAGGGCGGGAGCCTACTAGCTTCAGAGCCCCTGAGACCACAGTCTAGGCCAGCAGAGGTAAGGGACAGGGAGCAGGACATTTGCTGGCGCTGGAGTCCCTGTGATTCCCTTCATGGGGCCAGGTGTGTGGCTACCGCCTGCGTCTGCACTTCGATGGGTATTCTGAGTGCCATGACTTCTGGGTCAATGCCAACTCCCCTGACATTCACCCCGCTGGCTGGTTTGAGAAGACTGGACACAAGCTGCAGCCTCCCAAAGGTAAGGCCCACCTGGTTGGTCCCATGAGACATCAGTCCTCAGACTCCCCGCCCACCTTTCCTGTCAGTGACCCCTCCGGCTCCTGTGTTTTCTACCCTAACCCTGCTCCAAAGCCAGCCTCTGCGTCACATTATGATACAACTCCGCCCTGGTCAAAAGCCAGGGCTTCTGCTTTGCCCTTCAAGTATTCACCAGGTCATGTCCTGCTTTGACTGGGGTTCCCTGGTAAGATTCTTGAGGGTTGTGGGTTCCTCAGATCTGCTGGGTTCTGCTGCTTTGGTGTGGGGTACCCTTCTGTGGCCCCACCTCTGCATAGCGCTCTTGCATTCCCTTGAGGGGCCCAGGTTACAAAGAGGAGGAGTTCAGCTGGAGCCAGTACCTGCGCAGCACCAGAGCCCAGGCGGCCCCCAAGCACCTGTTTGTGAGCCAGAGCCACGTGAGTGCCCTGAGCAAGTGGACATCACCCCCAGGCCAGAGCCACTGCAGCCGGCCCCAAGGATCTGACTCATCAGAAGAGAATTCATCTGCTGTTGCTCTCAGCTTTGTTCTGGTCTCCTATCAGATGCAAGGGGCATAGCTGGGCAGGGCCAAGGGCCAGAGTGGGTAAAGCTGGTTATGGGTTTTCCCCCCAGTTCCTTCTTTCCTTCTTGTCTCAGTCCATTTTCTGTTGCTATAACAAAATACCCAAGGCTGGATAATGTATAAAGAAAAGAGACTGTTATTATTTAGAGGCTGAAAGTCTAAGATCACGTGGCCCCAACTGTTCAGCCTCTGGGGAGACCCTTATGGCAGATGGCATCACAATGGTGGGAGCTCATATGGAAGATATCACAGGGCATGTTTTGAAGTCAGAGGTATTTGGGGGCCAGGCTTGCCTTTTTTAAAAAAAAAATAGTAATTCACTCTGTGGGAACTAACCAGGATTTTACAAGAACTACATGAATCTCTTCCAAGAGTGATACCCCCAGTAACTTAATATTATTTCCTGTTAGGTCCTACCTGTTAGAGGTCCCAACATCAGTCAATAGTGCCCCACTGGGGACCCACCTCCAGCCCAGGAACTTTGGGAGATGAGCTCAGACCATATCCAGCCTTAGCACTTGCCAACTGCAGAGTCCTCCTCCACACCCTCCCTCAGAGCCCACGACCTCAGTCTGACACTGACATGTCAACACTGGGCTCTTCCTTTGGTTTGCTCTTTAGTTCTGTGGTGTAAGTCAAAGCCTCTATTCTGGGAGCTTCTTTTCTGCTAATGTTGAGGCTCTCCCATTCATTCCAACTATTCACCCCTCTACCCATTAACTCTATTCAAGGCCGCTGGCAGCTTTATTTGGCAACCAAAGTATCTCATGATCTCAAACAAAGGGTCTGAGAGTGTAGAGAACCCCCATTAGAGGTATTACCATAGTGGGGCTGGGGGTGTAGCTTAGTGCTACCATCCAGGGCCTGTTTGACATGCATGAGGACCTGGATTCGATCCCCAGCACTTAAAAATAATTACATAAATAAAGCAAGAACCACATTAAAGTTCCAGGGTCCCCATGGGCCAGAGATGCCACCATACTGCTCAGGCAGGGATAGTTAGACCCCTACCTAGTCCAGCTCCAGAGACCACACTCTCAGGTTCATAGGTAACTGGTGGGGAACTCTTCAAATCCTGTCCCCTACCCATTGACTGGGGTTGTGTTCCAGCTCAGACTATTTTACTTCTAAAGTGGAAATCAGAACACTTACAGGACTATTGTAAAGATGAAGGGAGGTTATATCTTTTGAAACTTATGCCTGATACAAGGCAGGTGCCCAGTTAATGCTGGTCCCCTCTCGCTCCCTGCTTCCCTCCCTACCACCCCACTGTTGCCCCCAAGCCAGGCCAGGCCAGTACAGGAGACTGGTACTGAACTGGTCAGAGTCTCTGGATAAAGGCACGGCCTCCTGCCAGTTACTTACTTTCTGCGTGCGACAAGGCAGGCTTCCTCTGGGTGCACCTGGAGGCCTGAGTTCTGAGCGACTCAGAATGGTTATGATTCTGCCCTGGAGAGACCCTCATTCCCAGCCTATTTCTCCCACCCTCCCTACTTCCCACCCTCAGGGGGTCTTTCTAGGGAACCCACTCCTATGTTTGCTAGTAGGCTCTGGGCTAGCACTAGCCAGCCAGGCCATGGCAGCCCTTCTTCTTATCCCTAGAGTCCCCCACCCCTGGGCTTCCAGGTGGGCATGAAGCTGGAGGCTGTTGATCGCATGAACCCATCTCTCGTCTGCGTGGCCAGTGTGACTGACGTGGTGGACAGCCGCTTTCTGGTGCACTTTGACAACTGGGATGATACTTATGACTACTGGTACTTGGAGGCCTGCAGGGGGAGGGGGTGGCTGGGGGCAACTGCTTTCATATCAGGTGTCATGTGGCAACAACATTCAGATCTTGCTCAGGATGGGGGTAATTGGCTGTCCTGTGGAGTTGAGCTATATCATAAGAAATGCAGCTCCCTATTACATGTGACATCTAAAGCTGCCCTGGCTAAGATGCATGTACACCGTGACTCACAGTTCCCCCTTAGATAGCATGGTGAGCTGGAGTTTTCAGTTAATGCAGCAGTTTTCTGACTGTATTGTCAGTCATCTGTCTCCCTCTTACTAAGAAGTAGGATGGGAAGGCCCTGAAGCCAGGCTGTGAGCAGGCTCAGCCCTCCACATTTCTCCTGAAACAGTTCTTGCATTTCAGGTGTGATCCCACCAGTCCCTACATCCACCCAGTAGGCTGGTGCCAGAAGCAAGGGAAGCCCCTCACCCCTCCACAAGGTAACCCTGCACTGAGCGTGCACTCTTCCCAGCCTGGCCCCTCCTCCCTGTCCTCCTGCCCTTACCAGAACCTTGTTAGCCAGCTCTCTAGGGTTAGGGTGAGGGGACAGATATGGCTTGGAGCCTCCACTTCGTGGCCTAGGAGTTGAGTCTCCTTTGATTTTGGGAAAGTTCTGTCAAATCCTGTCTCTGGTGGAGTTCAGGGGAATAAAGTTAGAGGACCACCTCGGCAAGGAGCAGGGAGCCCAAAGCAGAGTGTGACCTTCCTCCTGGGAGCACCATGCTGGCCAGGCACAGTAGAGATTCAGACAGGACTGGAGTGGAGCAGCAGGGCCGTGGGTGGTGGGGTCAGGGTCCCTGACGACCTGCTGCCCTTGCTTCACCAGCACCCATCTGCCTCGGGAACCTGGGCGAGGGGCTGGTAGCAGTCATGGAAGGGATTCTGCTCCAAGGGTCTCGGCCCCTTCCTCGTTCTTGATTCCTGCTGCGGGGCAGAGAGCTCCCCAGTCACCTTCCAGACATCGCTCTCATTTTCTTCTGTAGACTACCCAGACCCTGACAGCTTCTGCTGGGAGAAATATCTAGAAGAAACTGGGACCTCTGCTGTGCCCTCCTGGGCCTTCAAAGTGGTGAGTTGATGCTCCGTTTCCCTGGAGCTGAGCTCAGGAAGACGTGGAGCCCTTAGCCAGCCAGGATGGGCCCTGGCCTCCCTGTGGTGCAGGCCGGTCTCCCTGGGTGCAGCACTTGGGCTCTCCTCAGCTGGGCCCTGGCCTGAAAATGACTCTCCCCTCACAGCGACCTCCTCACAGCTTCCTGGTCAACATGAAGCTGGAGGCTGTGGACCGCAGGAACCCAGCCCTGATTCGTGTGGCCAGCGTAGAGGATGTGGAGGACCATCGCATAAAGGTGGCTTCGGGACCTAGGGCTGGGGGAGTGGACAGGTCAGTTGGGCAGGAGTTTGTGTACTGGCTAGAGGTCAAGGGCATGGCATGAGACAGGAAGTGAAGACACTGGATCTCGTTTTTGCCTCATCAGCATCTGTCTTTTGTGGGCTTGAGCAAGTCACGTCTCTCTGAGCTTTAGTCTTCTCTTCTGTCACATGGACCGAATCACCCTTGTCCTAGGGACTGATGGTCCCRACATGATGCCGGTCATGTAATGGGTGAGGCCCTTGGTGAACATGGGCCGAGACCAGTTATTGTGGAGTTGGCTCCGGGGTCCTTCCAGTCTAGGGTCCGCTTCCACAGGCCTAGGGTTGGGAGAGCCTTCTGGGACCTGGAGGTCCTCTCGGCTGAAAAGGGCTCCATGAGGAACTCCTGACCTCCATGGGCTCTTCATCCCCAGCTCCACTTTGATGGTTGGAGTCACGGCTATGACTTCTGGATTGATGCGGACCACCCAGACATCCACCCCGCGGGCTGGTGCTCCAAGACAGGACATCCCCTGGAGCCTCCTCTCCGTGCGTACCCTAGGACTCCCCGTCCCTTGCCCTTCCCGGCAAGTTCTGACAGCCCTTCCTTCTTTGGCCTGCCCAGGGGGCTCTGTCCCTCATAACCAGGTCTGACACAGAGGGTTTTGGTCCCACAGTGAGCTTCAGGATACCCATGCTCCCACCTAGAACTGTCCCCTACACTAAGCAGTGCTCCTGGCTCAGAGACCAAGGGCATGGCCCAAAGCATAAGAGAACCAAGTCTTCCCTCCCCAGCAATGGGCAGGTAGATGAACAGTGTGAGAATGGTGGCCTGACCTGGCTCAGGGCCCTGTTCCTGGAGACCCCGATCCTAGTGCTGACCTCCTGGGTGGAAACCATCCCTGCCCTGCCCTCCCTGCCCTATCTCTAGGACTCTATGCTAACTTCTCTTCCTGCTCCTCCAGGGCCCAGAGAGCCCAGCTCCGCCTCCCCTGGGAGCTGCCCTCCTCTCAACTACAGGAGTCTGTCCCACACTAGGACCTCCAAATACAGCTTTCACCACCGGTGAGTAAAGGCCTCCTGCCTCGAGACACCGGGCATCTGTGGACCTTCTGGGAGGGTCTGCTTTGCACCAGCTGAGCGAGGCCCTTGGGGGTTCACTGAGACCTGCCAAATAGGGCCAGAGTTGGGGAGGGCTCAGTGGGGACAAGTGGATCAGCCCAACTTCAGCCTTCTTCTTCCCAGGAAGTGCCCCACTCCTGGCTGTGATGGCTCTGGCCACGTAACTGGCAAGTTCACAGCTCACCATTGCCTCTCGGGCTGCCCACTGGCTGAGAGGAACCAGAGTCGCCTGAAAGCAGAGCTGTCTGACACGGAGGCCTCAGCACGGAAAAAGAACGTCTCCAGTTTGTCCCCAAGGAAGAAGCCTCGCCATCACGGCCGGTGCGAAGGCCAGGGAGAGAGGGCCTGGGCTCTCTGGGTGCGGGGCCTTGTGTCCTCCTGGGCCAGACACTGATCCCCTGCCATGGACCTGGTCCCTCTCTCTCCAGGATTGGACGCCCTCCAAAGTATCGGAAGATGCCACAGGAAGATTTCCAGAGTAAGTCTGGGTCCTCTGCTCCTGGGTCTTCTACATGCTCCCAGTGGGTGCTTGTAACTGGTGGGGTGAGATTCCAGGGGCACCCAAAGCAGGAAAAGCTGGAAGGGAGTCTCTTTGTGACCGTAGAGTAGTGGCAAAACCCTGAGTGGCCTTGGGTTCCGGTCCAATGACCTTGTTGTGCCATGGTGCATGAAAAGGCACCAGGTGTGGGCCTCTGCTTCTCCACTGTGAAGCAGATGATGCCCAGCTCTGCTATTCTGACTCTAGGCTTCCTGGGAAGGAGAGCAAGGCTGTCAGTTTCTAGCTGTTTAACATTGGGCAAGTCACTTAACCTCGCTGAGCCTCAGTTTCCATACTTGAAAACATAAATAAAACCTGCCTTTTGGGCTGAAGATGTAGCTCAGTGATAGAGTGCTTGCTTGTCTAGCATGTGCATGCCTTGGGTTCAATCCCCGGCCCTGCCAGTAGAAAGAACGAAAACCTGACTTTGATGTCAAGGCATGGGGTGCATGCCTAGTGACCAGAGGCTGAGATAAGAGAATTGCAAGTTCAAGGCCAACCTCAGCAATTTTTCAAGGCCCTAAGCAATTTAGTGATACCCTGTCTCAAAATAAACAAAAAGGACTGGGGCCGGGCATGGTGGTGCATGCTTATAATCCCAGGCACTCAGGAGTCTGAGGCAGGAGGATGGTGCATTCAAAGCCAGCATTTAGCAACTTAGAGAGGCTCCAAGCAATTCAGTGAGACCCTGTCTCTAAATAAAATATACAAAAGGGCTGGGGATGTGGCTAAGTGGCAAAGCACCCCTGGGTTCAATTCTTAGTACCAAAAGAAAAAAAAAAAGGACTAGGGATGTAGCTTTACAGTAAAGCACTCCTGGGTTAAATCTCCTAACGTACCAAAAAAAAAAAAAAAAAAAAAAGTCAATACCGGAAGTAACAGTGGTCACTACTACCATTTACTGAGCATCTACTATGGGCCAGGCATTGTGCTGAGTTCTTCGTGTATACCCTCTGTAGCTCTCACAAGCAACTGTAATACATCTGAGAGAGAGGAACAAGAGGCTCAGAGCAGCAAAAAAAAAAAAAAAAAAAAGAGGCTCAGAGCAAATTCATTTGCTCAAGGCCATTCACCTTGTGAGAGGCTGAACTGGGATTCATACTTGGCCTGACTTCTGCCATGTGCTTCGGGCATAAGACATAAAGCCCCTGATCCAAATGTCAGATTACTTCTCACTGCCCAGTGGATCACTTTGCATAAGTCGCCATAGAAAAACACCACAGACTAGGTGGCTTAAGCAACAGGTGTTCATTTCCCACAGTCCTGGAGGCTGAAAGTCAAGGTGTCAGTGGGAGCTCTACTTTCGAGGACTCCCTCCTTGGCTTACAGGTGGCCGTTTTCTTGCTGTGTCCTTGCACTGTCCATCTAACATGCATGGGCACTCCTGGTCTCCCATGGTGCATCCAAATTCCCGGAGCCTTGTGTACTTATTTTTTCTGGTAGTGACAGTACCCCTCTTTGGATAGCAAGGCCTAAGTAAGATGGCCATGTGGGATTCTGAGCACAGTGAGCAGCAGTTGTCTTAGTAGTCTGTCTTGCCGGATTCCCTCTTGCCGTTCCATGCTGTGTCCTCTTGGTGCAAACAGAAGGCACCTCCTGCAGCCTTAGGCCTGGTGACAAGGGTCTTAACCAGCCTCTAGGGCCTCGGATGAAGACTTCTGAGGATTAAACTGTAGTGGGTGCCTACTCTGCCCACCTTGGTTGCCTGGTCAGCTTCCATTGCAGGACCAAGTTCTGACCTCCAGAGGGCACTTGCTAACCAACCTGTAGGATTCTTAGGAAGTTATTCTTTCCAATGACTGAGACCACAGCCCAAAGAGGGGAGAAAGGACTCACCGAGGTCCTGAGGCACAGAGCCCTRGTCTCTGACCTCTGTGTTCTAGCAGCTGGCCTCGCTCCCAGAAGGGCAACCTTCTGGAGGGGATTCTCACACATCCATGGCAGACCTCAGTGCAGGCTTGGGCTTGCTGTAAACTGCCCCATGGGGAGTGCTCTGTGACAGAGCTTGGCACTGATGGCTCTGGCGTCTCCAGGAGCAGTAGTGCCAACTCGGAGCTGCAGCAAGATGGTTGAATAAGAAGCTATGACTTGCCTGTGAGCATCTCACTGTGTTCTGGGAAGGGAAGATAAAGAGGGACACTCCTGACAAACTTGGTGTGGCCCCCAAGCCCACTCAAGGCTGTGAGAGGAAGATCAAACCCAGGACTTCAAAGAGGGAGCACCTGGGTGGACAAGAGGCCAAAACGTGGCCAGGTAGAACAAGGTGCTAGTGGATCTCAAGGGAGATCCTGGGTGTGCCCTGATGGAGTGTGCAAGCAGTTCCTTGGAGGTACTCAAGGGGACTATCAGGAAGGCAGAACTTGGATTGGGCTGATGAGCAGAGGGCAGCAGGGAGGACAGCTGCAGAAGAACGTCAGTCAGTGGGCCTGGTGACGATCCCTGAGGTCACGTGTGAGGAGCAGAAAGATAAGGGCGAAAGGCTGAGGCTCACGAGAGGGCAGAATGGTCTCTGGCCAGCAGGGGAGACATAGAGAAGAAGGTGCTGGAGTTGCTTTATTCATCAGCATCCAGAATTAGCACCAAGCAAAGAGGAAGAACAGCTCCCCTGCATAGGGGGCAGCGGCAGGGCAGATCCCATGCACAAATGGCCACACTGCCCAAGGCAGCCAAGGCCAGAGAAGAAGGGCAGGGCCAGGTTTGTCGGAGCAGCCTGAGGTGGGTGAAGTCCAAATGGCTGAGCGCCAGGCCTGGACAGGAGAAGGCCAAGCAGAGCAACATCAGTCACCAGATCCATGGAGCCAGAGATTCCCGAGCATATCAGGAAGCAAAGTGACAGGCAGCTGGGAGTGACTAGTGCCAGAGCAGGCAGGTAGGGCAGGTGTCTGAGACAGAATCACCCTGGCTCTGAGCTGGCTGGGCCGCAGCACTTTGGAAACGAGGGCCAACAGAATGCACCTCTCACGTCAGGGCCAAGCCTATTTGGATGTTGGGGACAACTTTAATGCAAGACATCTAGAGACCGGTCTCTTTGCAGAAGCCACACAGCTCCATTGAGACCGCATCCTCTCAGGGCTCAGGTTCCTATAGCACCCAGAGGGATGCAGCGGGGGCCACTCTCTATAATTTACCTGAGTCTGAGTGAGGGACCACTGACCAGAGGGAGTAGCCCCAGGTAAGGAGTCAGGGGATGCAGGTCACCCTCTTGGCTCTGTGAGCTACCAGAGGGCCCCTGGTCCTGTCTGCTGGCCAGCCTGTCTCCCATGCTGTATGGGTGTGAGTGGGCTCTGGGGAACACACCGGTCCTCAGCATCATCCTCCGGCCTCTGCCTCCCCTGCAGCACTCACCCCCGATGTCGTGCACCAGTCCCTCTTCATGTCGGCCCTGTCGGCCCACCCGGACCGCTCGCTCTCCATGTGCTGGGAGCAGCACTGCAAGCTCCTGCCTGGAGTGGCGGGCATCTCGGCCTCCACGGTCTCCAAGTGGACCATCGAGGAGGTAAGGAGCCATTCCTTGGCCTCCCCCTCTTCCCCGCCCTCCCTCTCCCTCTCACCACACCCTGTGGGAGGGCTCAGGAGGGGCCTGGTCAGATAGAGCCCTGTACCTCCCCTGCTCGTCCTTCCCATCACAGTCCCTTCCAGTTGCCCTGGGGCTGACCTGGATGCTGTGCCAAGGCCCATCATGGCAGATGGGGAAGGGCTGGAAACCTAGCTGGGGAGACAGATTTCAGCCCTGGGCTTGAAGAGCAAGGAGCCTTACCTTGCACGCCCACCAGCATGGAGACCCAAGATCTCTGAGGCTGAGAAAAATCAGCACTGGCCCAGCCCAGAAGGCCCCAGGGCCCCGTAGGTCAGCCCTCGCTCCACTCCCAAGCCCCATCCCCTTGTCAATACATCTCCTTTGGTTTTCAAGGTCTTTGGCTTCGTTCAGACTCTGACAGGTTGTGAGGACCAAGCACGCCTCTTCAAAGATGAGGTAAGGTGCAAGTGCAGAGTGGGGGACAGAGACAAGGTCACTGTGTCATTGAGACAGCAGGAAGCAGGTGCTCTCATCAGTGCTGCCCCAGCCAGTGCCTCTGTTGCCCACCTAGGTGAGACTAGTCAGTGACCCATGTCTCTGTGAAGAATCTGGTGTGGGCTGTGGCCTGCTGGGGCCACTGTGTGTTCAGACCATCTTCAGGAAGGAGACGCTGCTTTTTGCCCAGTCTTTTGTTTGCAGAAGTTGGCTTTCCCAGTGAGGGACAGTAAGTTCACACCTGTCTGTAGTTTCTTTTTCTTTCTTGGTGCTGGGGATCAAACCCTTGGCTTTGCACAGGCTGAACGGGCTCTCTACCACTGAGCTGATACCCCAAGCCCAAAGCATATTTTGAATAATAAGGGTCTTAACACACACTTCAGATGGAGACCCAAGAGTTTTGCAAAGACAAGAAGCAGTGAGTGATAGGTAAGAGGAAGCCAGCTCTGGAGATGGGCTGGGTTGAAATTTCAGCTTGCCCAGTTCGAGCTGCATCTTGTCTGTAGAATGGAGATAAAGTGAGTATGATGAGAACCACCTTGCAGAGCCATTGGAAATGAAGAGTGAATCATAATGCCAGAGTGTCTAGCATAACTGTATCATTAGTGTGTGTACATACTATGCATACCTACATACACACTCACGCACAGAGTAAGCAATAGATAAATCATGTCACTATACCAGCATGCCTGGTACAGTGGGGGATCTATAAATGGTAGTTCTGGGTTTCAGTGCACAGTTGCCCTTAAATAAAGAACTTTATTATGACTCTCCTAATTTGTAAAGTTTGAAACCTTTGGGTTTGTCTAGGGCTTCCCTCCAAACAATATAAACATCCTTTCTGTACAACCCCTTCCACCCAGGGCAGCATGATCTCAGCTGCTCACAGTGCCTGTAAGGAGAGTACTCCTCTTTCCCTGGAAGAATGTCCAGACCCCACATGGTTTCTCCCTCTGCTCCTGTGCAGTGAGCTTCCCACCTCCTCCCTGTTCTGGGTGCTTCTCTTGCCTTCTGTGTTGCTGATCTGATCTTTGTGTTTGTATCCAGAATCAAGTGGAAATGTTTTTATTTTTTATTTTTATTTATTTAGTACTAGAAATTGAGCCCAGAGGCGCCTAACCACTGAGCCATATCCCCAGCCCTTTTTATTTTTTATTTTGAGGCAGATTCTGGCTATATTGCTAGGACCTCACTACATTGCTAAGGTTGACTTTGAACTGCCTGTCTCCCAAGTCATTGGGGTTATAGGTGTGTGCCTCTGCGCCTGGCAAGGGGAAATGTTTTTAAAAACCAGATAACCTGGAATGCATTGGGCTGCTGCTCCCTTAGATGTCTTTTTTTTTTTTTTTTTTTTTTTTTTTGGTTTGGGGATTTTTGGTGCTAGAGATTGGACCCAGGCCTTGTGCATGCTAAATATGTGCTTTCTGCTTATCTGTGTCCCTTGTCCTATAAGGTTTTAAAATATAAGTAAAGCAAAAACACTCATCTTAAAAGTACAGTGCCACAAGTTTCCTGCAATGTGTACACATGAACCCAACACTTCACCAAGACAGGAAACACTTCCATCATACCAGAAAGTTCTTTTTAGTCAGTCCCCATCCCAAAGACAACCACTAATTTTTAGCACTAAAGATTAGCGTGCCTGTTCTTGCACTCAGATAAATGGAATCTAACAGCCTGGACTCTTTCGGGTCTGTCTCTTTTTGCTCAATGTAATGTTTTGGAGGTTTTCCCTGTTGCCAAGGGGACCTGTAGCTTGTTCACTGCTGAGTGCTACTCCATTTTATGAACATGTCTCAAACCTCCTGTTCATGGATGTCTGGTTGTTTTCTCTCCGCTGAGTCCCTGGCCTGAACAGCTTCCCTCCTGGGCTCTTTTCATCTCACTCCCTCCTCCAGTCCCCCCCAACCAACACTCTCTCCACGCCCTGCCCCCTGGGATCAGCAGTTATCAGCTTTTCCTATGTTTGCTTCTTCCTATTTTTGAATAATATTAAATAAATTACACACACGATGGCGTTTCACCCTCAGTACTTCTGAAACTAAGAACTTCTACATGACCACAACATCCTCATTTCCCGCAAAATTGGCAGAGTTCTTCAATATCACCTCATGCCCAGCCTGTGTCCAAGCTTCCCTATTTGCCCCAGAACTTTAGGGGTTTTTTTGCAGTTTTGAGCCTGGATCCAGACAAGACCCACATACCTGATTTTGGTTGTGATGGCTCTTGAGTATCTTCCAGGAGTCCCCCTTTTTTGGTTTATTTCTTTTTTCTCTTGATGCTTTAAAAAGTCTTGCAGAATATTCCCTTCTGGATTCGTCTTGCTTCCTGTGGTGTCACTTAACATGTTCCTCCGTTTTCTGTGTGCTATAAGCTAGAAGTCAGATATGAAGGCTTGGTTAGGTTCAGGTTGAATCCCTCCCAGCGTGTTCTCTCTCTCTCTCTCTCTCTCTCTCTCTCTCTCTCTCTCTCTCTCTCTCTCTCTCTCTTTCTCTCTGGCAAGATAGGCCAGCTTAGGGAGATTGAGTCGCACTGCACTCCATCAGGATACACAGTGACCAGCTGTCTGCTGTTAGCAGCACTAAGCTTGACTATTGGGTTCATGTGAGGACAACAGCATTTTTGTTTTATTGTGGGGGGTCATTTCATTGTTGTTGTTTGTCTTTTGGGCATTGCAAAGGTGTTAATCACACAAAGAGGTCTTACACAGATTGCAGAGGAGTTCAGAAAACATTTGTAAAGTGGATGACCAGTGAATGAAGCTACTTAGAAGGTGGGCAAAAGGGCTTCGTGGGGGTGTGATCCATGCAGCCTCCCAGGGCCACCCCCGTAGAAGAACCCCACTCAATTATTAAGAATTAATAAAGCTATTAATTTCAAAGCTATTAATTTTAAAGCTATTGCTATCTTGAAATTCTTAATAATTTTGAACAAAGGGCTCTATGTTTTCATTTTGTACTGAGCCCCATAATTATGGAGCAGGGGCAGGTTTTTTTGAAGCTTCTGTCTGTGAGAACTTTGGAGACATCTTGCAAATGCAAACCATGAAACTCAGTCTGGCCGGCCGAAAGAGAGAGAGGGCATGTGTGTCACACGGGGAGCAAGGGCTGTCTTTCTTTCCTTCTCCGTCCCCATTGCTGTCTTCCTTTTCTCCTCTCTCCTCCCTTCTCCTTTCTCCTTGTCCTTCCTCTTCCTCTTCCTCTCTCCCTCCCCTTCCCTTCCCCCACATTTAACATCCTTTATTCCCATTTTCTTTCTCCCTCCCCACTCCCCACGCATACTCCTACCTTTCCTGCACCCCCTTCCCCATGACCCTTCCCACCTTCTCCTCTTTCCACCCCCCCTCAACCCCTCAGATGATTGACGGCGAGGCCTTCCTTTTGCTGACACAGGCGGACATTGTGAAGATCATGAGCGTCAAGCTGGGCCCAGCCTTGAAGATCTATAACGCCATTCTCATGTTCAAAAATGCTGATGACACCTTAAAGTGACTGACCTGGGGCTGGGTCCTCCTCCGGTCCTTGCTGGACCTCCGCTCAGCTGATGCTTCCTTCCTGACTTGAGTTCCTCATACCCCCTCCTGCGCCCCCTCCCCTTTATCTGACAAGGCCTGGCCCTTCTAGAAGGTACCTGGAGCAGAGGAGCCCTAGGGAAGGTGGAGTCCCGGCTCCCTGCGTTCTGGAGTTCATTTGCCTCCGGGTGCACTGGTGTGGCTGCGACTGAGCTGGGGTCATGGCTGACGGAGTAGGTGCCCGGCCTGAGGCAGCCCCACATCTCCAGCCAACTTGTGTTGTCTCCTAAGGGTCTTTTCCTTAGCAGGGGAGACGGGCGTGGTGGGCCAGCAGTCCTCAGTCCGAGGCCCTTTTCTCTCTTTGGCGTCTCTGTGCTTTTCTCTCGGTGGCTCCTTTCTTCCTACCCAGAAGTGACCCTGCCACACACATTTACGCATTAAGGTACCTCCTCCCTTTCCGCCTGCTGGTCTTGTGGCCCTGATTCTGCTGCCTGATTTCCTGGGCAGTGCCCCCAAGTGTAACCCAGCCAGACCCCATGACCCCTGCCCCTTAGACGTGGAAACCTCAGAAACCTCAGAAACATGTCCACAGGGGCCTCCCGGGAGCCTCAGGCTACCCTCCTCCCTTTGGCCCAGCAGTGGAGGAGACTCGGCCACCATGCTTCTCCCGTATGCCCTGTCGTCCTGCTCGGCATTTCAGTGCCAGTTCTGGTTCCAGCAGAGAGCAGCAGGCGGAGCTGGGGTGACAGCTGGCAGAGGTCGAGTTTCACTGCGGCTTCCTACACCCCCTCTCCATGTTGAGCCTGGGGAAGAGGAAGCCCCATCTGATAGGTGACCCAGGCCAGGAAACCAAACCAAGGATGTGTCAGACAATCTCGGGTCGGGCCAGAGGGCAGCTCCAGCCCGAGCGGTGGCACCAAAAGCTGAGAGAGCACCTTCTCTGCCACCGTGGCTCCCAGCCAAGGCAGTGCCCGCGGGCTGAGGGCCCCAACCTGCCAGGCCCCCTGCTGTGAGAATGTAGCACCTGTCCAGCACCCCTTACATGTTTACCACTCGCTCTTACAAAGACCACCTGCGGTCAGGAATTTGGAAGGCGAACTCCTCTGGATGCTCCAGGTCCCTTAAGTCCTTCTTAGCACTTTCCATCTGTCTCGCACTGCCACTTGGGTCCTTGTGGGCTCTGGGACATGGACCTCGTCATTCAAGTGGCGATCCAGCCTCCTCTAAGCCACTGCCAAACCTGCCTCCCAACCTGGGCCAGCCCCACATGGAGGCGAAGAGCCCACAGCAAGCTCCATGTCCCCGGGGGGCTGAGATGGGCCTGCGGGTGGTGAAGCCAGGGGTTCCAGAGACCCCTTCGCAATCATCTGGTGTGTGTGTGTGTGCGTGTGTGTGTGTGTGTGTGTGTGTGTGTCACTCTCAGACGTGTTTGATGGGTGTAGGTGTGAGGCTCAGTGTTGGGAATATATCAAGGGCTATTATTAAAATATAAAGCTTTATTTTTTTCTTAGAAGTGGGAACCCAAAGTTCTATTGATTTCCGCCACAGCCCTAGAGGGCCACTCTCCCATGCAGGCCAGACACCCTCCAGCTGACCTCTGTGGAGCTTCAAGTGTCCCTTCCCTTTCAGCCCTCAGAGGCGGCCCTGAGCACAGCTTTCGTGGGAGGACACTGGGCAGGCCCTGCCACAGGTTGGGTGGCATTGCTGCCCCCTTGGCTGAGATGAAGAGGGGCAAGTAAGTCTGCACCTCTCTTTCCTCTGAGCTGTTCAGGTGGAAGCAGAACTGGTCAGCTGGTCCTCAGTCCGCTCCCAGCTATAGGACGGGAAGGCATCCAGTGCTTGCGGCTGGTGCTGCGGGGCCTCGCCACTGAGGACAGGGACTGGAAACCTTTGCCACGCAGGCCTGCCAGCCTCCTCATGCCTGCCTGTGGGCAAGATGGTGGAGGAAAGGGCCCCAGGCCTCCCAACTTCAAGGCTTCAGCACTTTGTGCGTCAATGTCAAACTCTTTGGAAAGAAGCCAAATCATAAGGAAGTAGAAAGAAGTCTGCCTTCTGTCTACCCCACTACCTACCGTGTTCCCGAATGAGGTCACTGCACCTTGACCTGGGAGTGTGGGAGGGTAGGAAGCAGGCAGTGGCTCCAAGTGCCCTGTGCCCTGCTCTCTAGCAACAGGCCCCACCTACACTTTGGCCCTGGCAGGCTCGCCTAGCACCTGCCCTGCCCTAGCCAGGGACAGGGATGACCTTTCTGTTTAATTTCTGAGGCAGAGAGAACGGTCCCAGAGTTTGACATTGAAGTCTGTTTGCACTTTCATTCACATGCACTTTGGTGGGGTTACATTTTTGCACTTGCCTATTGTGTGTGTGTGGACGCGTGCATGCACGTGGGTTGAAAGAATCCTCTGGTTTAAGCTAAAGTGACTCTTGAAGGAGACAAATCTACAAAAAAAATATGGTGTTATATGTCAGTGTATTGAAACAAATAAATTTCAACAACTGGATGGTACGCAGTCAGAGTCTGTTTCCGTTCTCCTGGTAAAATAACCCAGAAAGCACGGAGTGAGTGAATACTACTGCCACCGGTACCAAGAATCTCAAGTGCTCGCCTTGCAATTGGTTAGAGGTCCTGGAGAATTTGGCTTTCATACTATTTTAAAGGTAAGAAACAAAGGATAAGGAGAACTGGGTACATCTGTCTAGGGGAAAGAGTGAGCAACGAGAACCGTGGAGAAGAGCAGGGAATGGACTTGATCCTTGACGTGCTATGAATGGTCATGGGCAGAAAGGTCAAGGAAGCCTCCAGTTTTTGAAAAAAGCATCAAGCTTTGAGGTGGGGAGATGTCAACCTGATGTCAACCTTGATGTCAACCAAGCCTGTGAGCAGGTAGGAGTGTGGTAGAAATGTCATGTTCAGACACTTTGGCCCTTTCTTGCCGATACTTTTTTTTTTTTTTTTATTGGTCGTTCATAACATTACATAGTTCTTAATACATCATATTACACGGTTTGATTCACGTGGATTATGAACTCCCCC